CACAACCACCACAGCGTCGGATTAGCAACCGACCGCGCAACCCTACCAATCGATACACTCCTAGTTAGTTGTGTTGTATTCGGAGACAATTTGTAGACATATATATTTATTTTTTTCTTTCGTGGATTTATGTGTAATGATATTTGAACTTGTTTGGAATTTTATATTTGGAAAGTGAATTATTGTGCTTCATTATTGTTTCTTTGACATGGTTGATATGGGTTTTGTGAATTTATATTTGGTTGTGGAATCGATCTCGATTAACAGGTGTGTTTTTGTAATTTTGTTTCTGTGAATTGCTGTTTTTGCACAGTAAAACGTATTTTCAAAATACGTTTTTCGTCTGTGTAAAATTAGGTCAAAATCGATTTGGGGATAAAATTAGGGCGCAATCAATTTGGGGTAAAATTAGGTTGAAAAACGTATTTTTAAAATACGTTTTTCGTCTGTGTAAAATTAGGTCAAAATCGATTTGGGGATAAAATTAGGGCGCAATCAATTTGGGGCAAAATTAGGTCCAAAAACGTATTTTCAAAATACGTTTTTTGTTTGTGTAAAATTAGGTCAAAATCGATTTGGGGATAAAATTAGAGCGCAATCAATTTGGGGCAAAATTAGGTTCAAAAACGTATTTTGAAAATACGTTTTAATTTTGCAAATATTATTTTCCAAAAAAATAAGTTTTTTAAAATCAAAAATATTAATTTTAAATATTTTAACGGAAAACGTATTTCGCTAATACGTTTTTAACCTATTTTAATTAATTTAATTACGTTAATCACCTTAATTAATTGTTTCTAATGAACACGTATTATTAGAATACGTTTTTTTTTAAAAACGTATTTTGCGAATACGTTCTTAATTAAAAAACGTATTCTGGGAATACGTGCTTTTGATATTTTTCCACTTGTTTTATTTTTTTTTTATTTATGTCCACTTAATTTTTTTTATTTTTATATAAATAAATAAATCCAAAGGGAGGGGTTGAAATAGTTATTTTCAACCCTAAAACAAAATAATTTGTGTTATCTATTACTATATAACTAGTATAAATTCCGTGTGGGTAGAAGATATTCATTAATATTTATAAATTAAAAATTTTTATTAAATAATATTTATAATTTAAAAATATGGAATCAATATGTAATATAATGTACCTATATTGATCTATTGAAAATGTTATATGAAATATAAATTGTGCAAAATTACATAAAAATATATGTTTAAAATTAGTACACAACCCGTGCGTTGCACATAACTGATAATAAATTACATTATATTCATTTCAAACCATGTGTCATTTCAAAATTTTTATTCATAAATTCGATATGACAATAATGTAATTCCATAAAATAATTATTTTAATAAAATTTTATTATATATTTAAAAACCTATGTCTGAATAGTAAGTACAAATACAAAACTTATATGTTTTCATTAATTAAAATAAATTTATTTTTGTATAAAATATCGAAATCAATAAATTTAAGTAGTTGAGTAAAAATAATGAGTCATAAGATTTTTTATGCCAAAAATCAACACTCTTTATCATGCTAAAAAATGAATAATGCGTTTCACACAAAAATTATTTGAAATGTCGTAATAAAAATTGAATTAAATCGAGACCCACTAATTATACAAAAAAAAAACTAATTATAAAAAAAAAATTGACCAGAGTTTTTTCTATAAAAAAAAACATCTATACAAGCACATTATATCAAAATATCCGTTCATATTATTTTGTCGCAGGTACGATAATTTTATTATGTTAATTTCATACGAAAAAATGAAATAAAAATTGAAACACATGCCTAAAAATCTATATATTAGCTTGCGCTCTACAGAAAAAAGTACACGCGAGTGCGCCCCCGCCCAGTGTCCTGCCAGCTCGCGACCAGCGGGCCGTTTAGCAACGTCGCGAGTGTTTTGACTAATTGTGTATTGTTTTTAGTGTGTGTTTGTGGTGTAGCTATAAATAGACGTTGTGCTTTGTATTTTTGGACACCACCCCTCATTTCTCAACTTTTAAGTTGGGAAAGCCGTTTAGCGACGTTGCGAGTGTTTTGACTAATTGTGTGTGTTTTTAGTGTGTGTTTGTGGTGTAGCTATAAATAGACGTTGTGCTTTGTAATTTTGGACACAACCCCTCATTTCCCAACTTTTTATGTGGTGTAGCTATAAATGGACGTTGTGCTTTGTATTTTTGGACACCACCCCTCATTTCCCAACTTTTAAGTTGAGAAATTAGCTCTTTTTCTCTCTTTTATTTTTATGCTTTGGTTTGGAGGTCCAACACTTGACATTTCCCGGAAATTTTTCCTGCGACTTCATTTCCGTTCAAAATTCGATCATTATGCATTATTTTCATCCAAGCTTGCGATAGGAGGGTAAGTATCTTGATTAGGGCGTATTACTTTGAGTTTGTGTTTCCGGAATATTGTGTTGATGTTCGATTATTTGACTTTGCTTTATTTTCATTGCTTGTTCAAGTGTGTTAGGAATTCGATACGTGCTTATCTTGTGTAAAGGTCTCGACTTTGCTTAAAGCGTGATGATTTAGTTACGAAGACTCGTGTTAGATTACCTAGGATCACTTTGCTCGCATGTCTCTTTTTGTTATTTTCATTTTCGTCAAGTTATAGTGCAATCAAAGTTCGAATCTTTTTTTCCAATTCTTCTACCTTTCATCAATTGCTTGTAGCTGGTAGGGGTGACGTGCAGTTCAATATCTACGGGTATCTCATGTAAATGTTTTTTTTTTTTTGTCATTATTTCATATTCTTGCAATGATGTCATTTAATTATTAACTTTGTTTATTTTATATCTTCTACATTGATCTGAGCTTGTGAATTATTTCTCAAAATTTTAACGGATTATGGAATGTCACGGATGGGTGACAACCTTCCTAGGGGCGCCCGATGAACATGTGGAAAGGTGACATTCAATCGTGTCAATGAACTCGATAATGCTGAGGTAATTCTTGGTTTCATTATAAATCAATTTCTTATTAAGCTGCATGTTTAATTTGGAAACATTTCCTTCTAGCTAGATTTGTAGATTGATTATTTATTATATTATTTTTTGTGCTAGATTTCATATTCACCTATGGTGTTGATGGCCGAGGAGATGAATACCTTTTATATTGATGCATCGACATGGATTTATCATCGAATGTTCAATACATTCACCGTGATCCACGGGTGAGCAGCTGTCAAGCATTGTCGATGAAAAGGTTTTCGGCCATAATTCATGGACGGGGGTTGAAGACAATGCGTTGACCCTCAAAGAAGCCACATTCTGTTGACGTGGATACTTCTGAAGAAGATGAACATCTCCCGCCACCAAAAAAGAAGAGCGCATGTTCCGTCGGAGAAACCACATCCAGTTGCATCTGAAAGAGCAACTGGATCGTCTATCGGAGATGACGAGGCATAGATTGAAGAGGTTGTCTCAAAAATAATTGAGGAGGCTTTTGCTCGGATGATCCCTAGGTTTGTTGATGTGGCGGTTACTGAGGTGATTAAACGATTAGATGGTTATCTAATCGTTCGAAGTGCGCCCCGTCCAGGATCTAAGGATTTGGGGACCATGAAGGATGAATAGGGAAAGGAAGAAGAATGAAGGTAAGAAAGAGACCATAGCAACAAAATATCTGATTTTGCAAGTTTGTAATATCTGCAACGCACCCTTATTTTGTTATCCAANTATATATTTACATCTGTAGAACTTAATTTGTAAGTTTTTAATATTTTTTATTTTATAAAAATTTGTTATAAATCTTAATTCTTTCACACTGTTCAAAATCTTTCCCAGGTATTTGAGTATGTTAATCCAAGTGTTCCACCTCCACCTCCTGGGAAGTCACCTATTGATGTGGTTGAGGATGTTGGAGATGAGAATGAGGGCATTGACGTTGTGGTTGAGGATGTTGGAGATGAGATTGAGGGCATTGCAACCAATAAGACTCTAGAACCCACAATTGGATCCAGAGTCTCGGATGATGCTGAGGTTGACCTGAATGCAAAGGGTGGTCAAAACCTGCGTGTTAAGTTCGTCAATTGCATGCTTATCTCACCTTTTATTAACTACATGAAGAAATATAAAGAGACTAGATTAAAAGCTGATTACAGTAAATGGAGAAAAGAAATGGGTAAAGAACAAAAAACCTCCCTTGTACGTAGCATAACGATTTTTTTATTTTTCTAATTTATATTATATATGTGAACTTCTCACTTCTCTAAGTGAGATTCTCTTAATTATGAATATTTTTTTTTCTTTTTTTTTTTTTTANAGTAGATTATTATGACACCATTGAGGGTGCTTGGAAAATGCTTTCAACTTATGTAAGTAATTGTTCTTAGAATTAAATCTCAGTACTGGACTCTATTGCTTCAAGAAATTAATTAAATTTATAATTTTTGTAGCATATCAATTCTTTTTTAGAGGTGATTTCTCTGAGATTGCAAAATGGGGCCAAATTGAAGCGGGGAGTATCTTTTTCAATGATTAACATTCAAGATTGCACTCTATTGGTAATTCATCCTTCCATTGATAATATTTTTTGCTTAATTTATTTGTATTTTCATGAATGACTCGTGTTAAATCTTAATATTTACGTTTCAGCAATTGTTGTCAGATCGGTGGAAAGTGATTCATCCCAATGATCCTGAATGTATAGTGCTATCAAGACACAACTGATTATGAGAGTTTAAGAATTTGGTTAAATATATTCATGGTACTGCAATCCGTTGGGGATCTCCTTAGAACAAAATTCCCGATGAAAGTTTTTCTTTCAAATTAAAAACAAAATGCCTAATTTTGTGTGGATGCATAACAAAATTCCTGATGTAAGTTTTCATTTGTTCTTTATAACTGTGTTGCATTAACATTAAATTGGGTATGTAATGTTGTCAGTCATTGTGTGGTATGTTAGGTCATCTTGGTATGTAATTTTGTCAAACATTGGGTGGTATGTCGGGTGCGATTATTAGACTAGAAGATTGAGGTTTATGAATCCTTCAGCCATGAGTCAAAATCAGAGGACTGTAAAGACCGAGAGCATATGTTGACTCCTATTCGACGACTGCTTCCCTCATAACTTCATCGGTCCGGTTATTTTGTTGCGTGGCATATTCCGCCCAAGTTTGAGGTCTGAACACTTAAGAGAATGCCGAGTGAAATGCAGTTTGTTCAAAAAGATCTTTTGAATTGTGGTGTCTTTGCCTGCATGTATGTTGAATGAATGATTGGCAGGAACTTGCCCCGGAAACTAAGTGATGAGGACATAGATTTGTACAGAAAATAAAATGGCATTAGCAATTTTGCTCATAGTAAGTTTGTAAGGAAGAAGTAGTGCCATTTTCTGGGGCTTTTAAAAAATATTGTGTACTGTTATTTGCAATTGCGGTGTATTTGGTACTTTGACAATTGTGGTGTATTTGGTACTTTGGATTCCAGTGAAACTATTTTCTTTTGTCTTTCTTAGATGTTTGTGGTACTACTTTTGTAGGATTTGTTCTTTTTAGTTATGTTTTCTTAGTTTTCTTATAGATGATTTTGTATGTAAGGATGCTTTTGTATAGTGTGTGAGGTTCGTTATTTTTTGGCCTTTTTTGGTTGGAAGTTTTGGGTTTGGATATCGCCATGTAAACATAATGTGGATCTTAAAGCGCCTACTGCGAGTCACGTGCCATTTGGGAGAGACGGAGCGTGTAATAGACAACACAGTCATGAAGACGGTTTTTGAATTCAAGCTCGCTGGCTCGAGAAGAAAGCCAGATGAGTTTGATGTACACAAATTAGGTCGGATGACCTTAAAGTGCCTGCCGCGAGTCACGACATTGCCCGCGAGTCAAGGTCCTGGAAGTGCTTGGGACTCTGTTCATCTCTGCGAGTCGCGACTGATTCCATGAATCGCGGACTGGCGAGGTCGCGGGTCGTGAAGTGTGCCGCGAGTCGCGACCCTGGGAAGTTTGAAATTCCTGGGAGTCTGTTGTTCTCCGCGAGTTGCGCATTTTTTATTTATTGTTAACTGGAAATACATGGCGGTACAATAGCGCAGTTTCCTGGCACAACACACACACGTCTCGGCATGTTTAGTGCCTTTACGGCGCTACGAAGTTCACGCATGGCTAACGTTACAATAATATAAAAAACAAATAAACTATACAACTATGATTACATTAACAACATAACAAAAATACACACAACAATTTGTCCCACAATCATTAACCACACACAAATCATTCATACAAATATACAAATAACACCCCAATTATGTTTTGCCACAAAGAAAACATGCATTAACGAAAATACCATTGTTTTAAGACATCACCACAACAAATCAAAATAAATCACCAAAATATCACCAAATCAGCAGCAAAACAAAATATGAGGTTCGTACATAGAAGTCCTCACCACATCACTCCACCTAAAACACACAGAAATAAAAGCAACATCCTAAGAGGCAACAGATAAAGTGCGACAAACAGGCGCACATAATTAATAAAGTGCGAAACTGCTATGCTATAAACTATACGACATACAGATCGGAGATAATTGATAAAGTGCGAAAATAGTTAAGCGATAAACTATCCGACCAACAGACGAACATATTTATAAAGTGCGAAACAATTATGCGATAAACTAGCGACAAAGAGAATTAAGATAATGGGACAATTCTCCTGAATATTAGGCACATGCTTTTCAAGCTCATGATTTCTTTTCGAAATGGTGAACAGTTGCTATATCCGTTTCATCTGCTAATTTTTTCATTTTCAATTCCAAAAACTGCGGGTGAGATGTAATGAGTAGTATAGTCTGAAAAAAATCTTACAATGTTAAATTCATGCTCTCTCAATTCGTACCCACTTAATAGTTATAGTTGTTACACCTAATAAGCATTTATGTTAGTGTTATATACTGAAAGTTTGGCTTTGCATGTTATTACACATTTGCCCTTTAGAATGAGAATCATGTTAGATTAAACAAGTTCTATGTTCTGTTATTCTGCACTTAGATAGAGTGGGTCGTCATCGGGCGAACCGAAGATCATTCTATCAGTTACTTGCGAACAAGAATAGTCGTTCACAACCTAGATGGACATGAACACCCCATCCGAACGATTGTAGTGTCAACTATACAGTTTATCTTGGTTGATTAGTTGCACTAGTACATTTATGTATTGAACAGGATCCCAGAGAGGAGAAGTTCATTTTATACTGATCGTCGTAAATGAACTAGGTCTCGGTTAATTACTGCGTTCTCTTAACCCGTAAGATATTAAACATGCATTTATATATAGTACATATTACTTTGCTTCACTTGGGTGAGGTTCAGTTCGCTGGATCAATATTTCTACTGTTTTGGGTAATATTGCTATATATAGTTTGTGCTGTTAGGATATTTACGGTCACCAAGTGCGTAGTTTGATGATGTCCCCAGAGTGAGTTCATAAAGGATTATTGTGCTAAACCCTGCAGGTGGATTAAATTCCGGCATAGTAAGAATGTGATGAACGAGCGCTAGCTTCGGTGAAATAATAATGAATTAATTAATTCTTGATTGTCAGTAATCGAATTAATTAATGGACATTATATCTTAAACGTGGGGAGGTAAATCAAGTAATTATAATTGGAGTCTCAAATGTAATTTGGGCCAGGAAAAAGGAGTTCAATAATATAATGTTGGTGGCCCATTAATATTATTTAATTAATAAGAGCATTAGGTTTGGCCCACAATTAGTCTAATTAATTAAGGAGCCCTATTTCTATTCTCCTAAGGGTCCCTACTGTAGCTCTAAATATACATCATTAAACTCATGAGAAGAAGAGAACTCTCCCATAATAACACACCCCATCCTCTCTCTCTCTCAGTTCTCATTCGAGCTTTGTCTTTTTCTTGTTGCTTCACTGGTACAAGTTGAAGAAGGGTATTTACGTAATACAGTAGAAGATCCATAGGTAATCGAGACCCGATAATCTTCTGCAGAAGTTGACGATCCACGACCTGAAGCCGAGGACCGCCAACCCGACCTGACGTCCGACGCTGTGAGCCCGACGCGCCGCCGCAGGCGAGCCACACGACCCCCGGACCGATCGCCGAGGAGACGCGACCCGGCGAGCTTCCCCACACGACCCGTTCGCGATTGAAACGAGCCCGACATTCCATTCGTGATTCCAATCTGTTCGTGTGCTGTGTACGGCCATCCGAAAGATCAGTCAGATCGCCATAAATTTTAAGCCGTAAGTTCTCTACGTCAAACCTTTAGATCCGCTGCGTATAGGTTTACGTTTGCTATTGAATTCGTTATTTGTGCATAACGAGATCCTCACAGATCCCAACAATTTAGGCACTTGATTCTTTGTAGCTGGGATTGTTGACCGTCCTTTTGCATGTTCAAGCTCAACTGGGGAAAGGGTGGTCAGCAGTCCCGACTTCAAATAATTAAGTGTCTCATTTCCTATTAATATTATCATGTCTAACAACTATAAAAATTAAGTGAATAGAATTGAGAGAGCACGAATTTAACATGGTAAGATTTTTTTTAGACTATACTATTCATTTACATCTCATCTGCAGTTGCTGGAGTTGTTTATAATTGAAAACGTGTAATTAACATATGAAATGGATATAACAATTGTTTCACCATGAAATAGAATCATGAGCTTGAAAAGCATGTGCCCAATATTCGAGAGAATTGCACCATTTTCGGTTAGCTCTGACGAACACGACTCTACCATGTTACCACTGCCGTTTTATTTTTGATCAGCTTTAACGTTAGGTACTTTTACTTTTTATTTTTCCAAGTAAAGTTACTTAAATAATTAAAAAAAAAAAAAAACGGGAACCAGGCAAAAATCGTCGGGTTGTTGAACAGGCGGTTCAAGGTTCAAGGTCGGTTCAATGAACCGGCCCGTGGGCCCAGGTCTAGCCCGGTGGCCATGTCAATGTCCAAGAGTAATGTGGGCCGTGGGATGGATTAAAAGAATCCAACGGCAGAGATTGTACCCACTAAAATGTGAGCACGTGGCGAGTGCAAAAACTCAAAAACTACGGAAATAGCCGAGAATTTTTCAGAAATTTATTCAGGTCTTGCTGGAACCCAGTTCTCTCAAGATCCACAAGAATACAAAGGTGTTTAAGATTTGGGTAGCAATCCAATCCCTGTTTCATTTTCGATCAAATTCGTGGATTGGACTTTAGTTTTTATTACATGAGGCTGTTGCAGCTAGCTTTCCTTGTTGCTTTGGCTTCTGGACTTTCCGCCATTCTCATTTACCTCACCGGTGTTTCCACTCTAGGTATATTCATGTGCTCAAAAATTGAATTTTTCTATTTATTTCTTCTTTTTAATTCGTGGATGTATAGAAAGTGGGAATTTATCTTGTAAATTCGCGAATGCGCGTGTTTTATTTATGTGCAGATGGATCAGTTCACCTTTCCGGTGAAGATCTGGAGGCGCTGAAGTCTCTGCAAAGTCATTTCCAGAAGTGCGTGGTGAGTTTATGGGGTTTTTCTTATTCCTCTCTGCTTAAGGCTTCATTCTAGAGAACTACCCTTCATAATTTGCAAAACTTTGATCTTACTACTCTTTCTGCTACATAATCTCGTTTTGGCGGCTGGAACCTTTGTTCTTAAATTACATAATCACCCTTTATTTTAAATTGTTCCAAGTTGCTGTTTCTTGTTTTATTTTCAAATTGTTCCAAGTTGCTGTTTCTTGTTTTATTTTTCCTCTGAAAGTATGAGCCATTCAGGTTCTGTTAGAATCTTGAATTAGAGTTGGGGCAAATAACATCAGATTCAATTTTCATGGAACTTTAGTTTTGCATATTGACTCCATGAGCATTACTCTTTGCTACTTATTGGAATGAGTAGTTCTTAGTGATGTACGGTGGCTGTTGTTCATAGAAGTGGCTCCTTTTTCTTTTATATTTTACTTGGCCACTACAAATCTAGACACAACTAGCCTTCTATTGCTGTGTTAGTCTATTTCTATATCCTTGAATGCTAGGACTCTTGCTGCTAAGATGCGCTATTCTCAACTTAAATTTTGTGTTATACAGGCATAGGAAAGCCACGAGGCTGCCAATTTCATTATACTTGTATTTTATGCATTTCCATTAACGATTAGACGTAGCATGTAATAATTCGTTTCGTTTATAGTTCATTTGACATATTTTGGTCATGTAGAGTGCGAATGGATTAGGATTACAGGCTGTACGTGGTAGGGATGACTGTGAAGTTTCTCTTGGGTTTCCGAAGGACACGATTCCAAAATGGGTAAGTTTTCTATGCATCTTATGTTTCCTTTTTTTCTTGGCAGCCTGCTATTGCTGATCGGTATTGGAATTGCAATTGAGTCATATGTTAATTTGGAGATAGTATCTTAAAGAAACTGCATCTCATTCAAATTTATCATCACACTTTCTTACAAAAGCTTATTTGATAAACATCAAAACAGAAGGATCCCAAAACAGGTGAACTCGAAGGCTTGACTTTTGACTTTAACTTGTGTGAAGCAATAGCTACATGGGAGCAGGTCAGTGTCCTTTCCACAATTTTCGTTTTACTAAAAATATCTTTCATTTTGTTTATCTCACATAATATCAATGGTACACTGGAAAATTCAGCAATTGACTTGTACTTTATTTATTTGAAAATTATGGGCACGTACCTTTTATGAAAACGCGAAGTTTTAATCAAATTCCTATAGATTATTTGTATTTGTTTCCAGACCTTTTCATTCTTTCTTTTATTCAAGCATGAGCTGTAGTTGTGCATTTTTTCTTAGTTTTATTTTTTAGTTCTGTTTAGCTTGTATGTGCTACAATTGATTAGCTATTCAGTGAGGGTTTTGCTCAGGTGCGAAATAGTACCACAATACTGACTCGAGAATATATTGACGCTT